TCCTTGTGTGGGATGATGAGAAAGCGTCCTTTGGTTTGAGTTTTATATTTTAGTGAATTAATCGAAAGTGACAGTGAGGTCAGGTTGGTTTCGGTAATGATGTAGTTGTTGAAGATTTCTAAGTTGGGGCTTTTTTTAGGGTGTATTATTAACTTCGGTTGAGTTAAATATAAAATAAAAATTAATCTGTCGTCAAGAGTGTCCAAATTAGAGCTTATTAAAATTATTGTTTCCTTGTTAAAGTTTTGCCAGATGAAGTCTTCTAAAGGCTTTACTGTTTGCAGTAATAAAAATTCTATTACAACCAGTGTAACATTCATTTTGAACAAACTGTAGAGAGCTTGTTGTTAATTTTATAAAAACAAGTAAATTTTTGTACGTCAATAATGTTATTTATCTAGTTTTGCCGTCAAGGTACATGATAAGAATAAATTCAGGAAATGCACTTCAGGGTATAACACCCAGGGGTTAATTATGAAATAGCTTATGTCTCAGGGTCACACAGGAATTCGTCGGTATTTCTTCGTAAAGTAATCCATGTATTATAAATTTACAGTCGCTACAGTTCTTAGTTATTAATGTTTTTAAAATACCTTTAAGCCATGTTAAATCTACAAGTTATATTTTAATATTTACAGAAACTGAAAGCACGTTATTAGACTTAATGGATAAAAAGACCTAACTGACCAGAAATCAATTTTGCCTTTTGTTAAAATATGAAAAATCATCACGTTTAAAGATAATTTTATGGTAGTTTTAAAACATGATATTCGATGCATTATAGACATTATTTGACGTCAGAAATGAAATAATAATAATAATAATAATATAAAGAATAGTTTAATCAACGCAGCAAACAAAATGTTTATAAAGAGCACATAAATTTTTAAGCCTAATTTATGTAATTATGTAATTACTAAGTTTTACACTTTAGGTAAGTGTATTAACAGTAATGTTTTTTGTAAGATAATTTCCGGTTCATCATTTAGCTCTGATGATGGATACCAGTAGGTACCGAAACATATTAACCCTCATTTTTTGACAAAATCTTAACTTCTCTGACGTCGATTTAATTTATACTGCAATATTTCAACTAAGATCTTGTAAGCGAACTGTACAATCAGTATTTTTTGCAAATCCAATTCCTAATTACAAAACCTAAAAGTCTATATACACATCATAATGTCTACATCTTTCAAGTACTCTTCCAGTTATTGTGTATTGATTAATGATTTTGTTTTTTACCAAAAACAATTTTACAGTTATTAATGTTAGGTTCTAAACAATTATTATTAAAACAGCACCTATATATAAAAATAAACAAAACCATTTTGAAAAATACATGGTAATTTTGCAGATGATCCACCTATGTTCAAATGTTCATATTCTATCTCTATAACCCTTTTCGTTCCACTAATCAAAATAGTGTTTGTGGTAGCAAGAAGCAAGAATCTTCATTGGACTTTTACTTTTTTCCAGCTTGAATTTTTTTTTCAAGTTTGGAAATAAATTAAAACACGGAGGGGTCAAGTCCGGCGAGTAGAAAGTATGGAGTACAAGTTCAAACCGCAATTCTTTAATTTTTGCTACATGGCCACATGGCAATAACTAACTTGTACAAGGGTACATTTTTCTTTGTTAATTCGGGTCGTTCTTCTTGGGTGTTTTTCTCGTAGCTGGTCAAGCAGGGTAGCATAGTATGCCCAGTTGGTTCACTCTTTTTGAGATATTCCATAAAACGAATAATTACCCTTGGCATCCCAAAAAACTGAAGCCAAAACTTTTCCAGTCGACAGCCTTTATTACTGTAAACACTGACAAATGAATTAGGTTCAAATACTTGCTCATAAATAACTTTGTGAAGGTGGAACATACAACAACAATGTTAGGTTTTTGTTATTAATAAATAGAATAATGGGTACCATTAATTTTCGCAGGAAGCTCAGATTAATTCCTACGGCATATATTTTGCATCAACGTCAATTCCGTTTCACAACATTTTTACGTTCAGCTCGCAGTAATAAAAAAAAACAAACATTTCACAGATTAAAATTTTAATTTCGTGCACATCTGCAGCATATAGGGTTAGTTATAATATTTGTTTGGTATCGAAAAACTCATTCTGCAGGCAACGAGTGTGTGGTCCACGAAGGTCAATTGGGAAATTTATTCTCGAGGGTGATCCATGTATCGTCATTGGGAATTTTGTCCACCTGCTCCCTGGTTCGCTGCTTATTTTGCTTCCTCTGCTGCTTGTGGTTTTGCTTATGCTTGTGCTGACCGAACTTGTTGCCATGTTTCTCGACCTCTTGCGTTTCGCTCTCCTCAGTATCGCTTTCTTCTTTCTGCTTCTTGCGACCTTTGAGGGCCTCCACCTACAATCGTAACTAAAAAAAAATACGCATAATTGACTTGAATACTCACGTCGGTGATCACCACAGCGACAAAAACTACCGCCAATAATACGAAAGCTAATTTCATTTTGGAGCTGGTGGAACTGGTGCCAATGGAATGACAGCGACGGATTTTATAGCGGCCCGAAGTGCATTTTTTGCTGTTTGAAATTTTTTTATTTTTGCATTACTTTATGGACTTCGATTAATTTTTTTGTCGCTTTTGTGAGAATTGCTTCCGGTGTTTTGTGTGGGCTTTTATCCGTTAAAGAAAGTTCTCATGACAACGAAATGTGGCTACAAGGAGAAAAATTGTTTTTTAATAGAAAAGCAACTTCTTGAGAGATAGATTGTCTTTGGGTGAAAGTTGAGCTTTTTGTGATATTTTTAATGAAGTCGCGGTTGCTTATGGATGTCGTCGTTGTTTTTTTTTTAGTAAATAAAGAACAGGAAGAAGGAAGTTTCAGATTATAACGGCATTAGTCAATCTTGAAACTGTTGTATTTTATTAGAATTTATGAGTATACCTACTCGTATCTAGTAAAAGTGTCTAGTTTTTCTAATATACTGAAACATTATATTTATTCCTATTTCTGATTAATATTATTAATTATAAATTATACTATTATATTAAGAAAAAGAAACCTATTCAATAATAAATGTATACAAAATCACGACCAAATAAAAAAATTGGTTCAAGGTTATTTCGATAGAACTTCCTTCGTCCTTAAAGTACAATTCAACAAATTCCGCTTCTTTGAAAAATTATAGAAAATTTGTGTTTGCTGATAACCTTTATACAGTAAAAACCAGTAATGTAAATGACACCTCGAACCCCCTGCGCATGTACATGCTTAACTTCGATTGTTTATGTATATATTTAGAAATGTCTTATTTAATTTGAATGAGTTTTGTCCTCAAAACAGAAGACTAAAATTATTAATTAAGCCACAATGGAATAAAATAATGTTCTGAATAAGATTATTATTTTTTTTTATTTGATCACAATTAAACAAGGTCGAAGGCTATAAGTATAATCCGACAAATCTAGCTCTTTAAGAAAATATAAAATTTGATTTTACAGTTTTCATTTTGAGATAACAGCTGTAAAGTAAAAACAAGAGGCATAAATAACACCCCTTGTCTTTCAGCAGTAGGTAATAGCAATCTGAAGCTCAAGTGTTTATTTATGTTTATAACTCGAAAGAATGTCACGTATAAATTAGTTTGATTGGAATGAGTTTGTCTTCTCAAAACAGGACTAAAATTATTGATTAAACCACAATCCAACAAAATGTTCTGAATATTATAATTCTCATTTTATCATTATTATATAAAGACGTGGGACATTTTCGAAAAAATGGGGTGACATGTTCTTAATTTGACAAAAAAAAAATGTGATGGCGTCGTCCATGTGGATAATTCTAGTCACAGCACACAAGAAAAGTAGTCACAGCGTTATACCAATGCAAGAAAAACGAAAAGCACGAAGTTCAGCATCGAACTTCGTTTTTTTTAATCTGGAATTCTACGATAATCTCACCTAAGTGTAGAAGTATGTTATTTTATAAAATTTCAATAAAATGTTCACAATGCAAAATTTTGAAATGGTATATATTTTTTTACGATAATTCGTATATTTCATGAAAAGTATCTACACATTTAAATCAACAATAAACAAGCACGTCAGATTATAAATTTCAAGCAAGATTTTTTTAGCAAACAAAACGTTGTCAAGTTTTTGGAAAGAATAAATAGATGAATTGTGATTACCAATTTACTGAAGTGAATTGTAAAATTTTGAAAATCTAGCTAATAAAATCGCCAAAAGAAACAAACAACGCACAAATGGCAACGGGTGAGCTACTTTTCCAAACTTTAAAAGCCATGAAACGTCGAGAAAACATCAAATGATTCCTCTAGAATACTTCCCAAGCTAGTAAGTGAAGATTAAAAGACATCCAAGTCAAGGGTTCAGTGCAAGTTCAGAAAAAACTAAATTATTTTTATTTACAATTAGTAAGTGGAGAATCAGAACAACGGAAAAATTAAAAAAGTAAATAGATAATAAAATTGTTGAATTTTGAAACGTAAAAACCGAAAACCAAGCACAAGGTACGAGTAATTCAAACGTACCTACTTAAATGGATTTATACTGTCTACAATCGTAAAATGTTATGATAAGAAATACATAGTGATAAACAAAATGAGCTAAAATAGATTATTATTTGTTGTGTTGTTGTGCTTTCCTGTCCAAATTGTTCCAGATAGTGCATCTAAGGACATTTCCTCTTCTTCTGCGTAATCTAAATTATGTGATTAATTTCAGTTAATTAAAATATACATATAAATATTTGTTGATGAATGGTTTCCTTCACTGTAACTTAATTTTTTTCCCTTTATTGACAGAAGTATTTTATCTTCGTTTTTATTACTTCGATATAAATATTAACACAGGATATGGAACATTTTATAAAGTAAAAAAAATTAACATTTGCAAAAATTTCCATATTTTACATTTAAATCTAAATGTTACTTTTATAGTATGCAATATTTTAACCTGAAAAGACTGCGACGAACAATTTAGCAGCAGAAATCAAGTAGAAACCTAGAAACTCATTTAAACATGAACATGAAAGTGACGATCGTGTTTGTTTTAATTGCTTTTATTACAAGAATCTCTTCTTTGTCACTACAGCAAACTATATTTTTGCAGCTACTCAAAAACAACTTGCTTGGAATTCTCAATAACGATAACCTAGATAAAAACTGTGTTTCGGACTTAAATGCTCTGTTTTCTGATGTTTCTAGTTTCAAACACTGGGCATTACAAAGTAAGAAGCAACTGCAATTAAGTACTTTACATAATAAACTAGTAAACGAAACCAATTTGTAGTGTTGGATGCTACTGGGAAAATCTATCCAGGGCTTCTAAATGGCAACATAAATCTAATTGGTGATTACGACGAATGTTTAGCTATAAATGAATCTAAAAATGGTAGAAGAATCAGTGGAAAATACTGTACTCTAGCTCTTACAATGGGGGATTCAGGTATTAGTCCTCTAGCAACATCTTTGAAACAAGGAACTGTAAGCATAGTTCAAAAATTTGTTATACATTTTAATATGTTGTGATATATAATTTTAGTCATTTAAACAATCATACTTAAACCACTATACTATTTTCAAATTTATGCAAAATACATCCATGACGTGGGGAATTTGTGTGCCAAAATCTTGTTCAGTCAGGAACTTAAAAATCCTTGCCCACGATGTACAAGCGAAATTTAAGCTCCCTGTGGAAATAGGACTAACAGAAAATTCTTGTTCCTACAAAAATAAAACCTCAACAATAAATAACTTCGATATTTTAGTTTAGTAAGTTGTTGGTGTTGTTTGTTTTAACAAAGATAATGATTGTAGTTATTTCTTCGCGATGTTAGGGCTCATACTTGTGGCAAGTACCATTTACGATCTTCACCTCAAATGTTTCGGTAGGAATACTCGTGATGGTAACACTGTCGTTAAAACTAAAATTGTAGGTAAAAAATCAAACATTTTCGTTGCATTCTCACTGTATAGCAATGCAAGAAGACTCGTATCAGCAACTTCTAACAAAAAAGAGGATAATTTAAGCTGTCTGAATGGAATCAAGGTGTTAAGTTGTTTATGGATCGTGTATGGTCATGTAGTTCTTGCGTGTTTCTTTTATTCAAAAAATCCTGCTTATGTTGTCAATGAGGTAGAGCTCATTTTCATTTTGATATTCTCCTTTAATCTTAGTTTTTTAGTGGAAATATTCCACAAAGAGCACTTTTACATCGAGTGCTTTTTACGCGGTAGATACTTTTCTTACCATCAATGGTTTTCTTGTTACTTATATTTACCTCAAAAGTACGGATCGGTTAAAAATTACTGTGACTTGGTTCTATTTGAAGAGATTTCTGAGGTACTATACCAAAAATAAGTAGTATCCAACAAAGTAAGTTTTATTTTGTTTTTTAGGGTAACACCTGCCCTCCTAGCTGCCGTCTTGGTACACACGAGTGTGATGAAACTTCTAACAGATGGACCCTTTTTATCTTACAACGATGAAAAGTTTTCACAAGATTGTTACAATAACTGGTGGGCTTTTTTCATTCACCCTATAGTTTTTACAAGCTATGAACAAGTAATGATTTTCGTTTTTAAATTTTGAAAACTGTATATATTTATTTTACAGTGTGGTCCACATTTGTGGTATATGTTTATCGAGGGCCATCTATATCTATGTACTCCCGTATTCTTAATCTTCATGAAGAAATACCCCAAAGACGTATTAAGAGGTCTAAGTGTCATCTTACTGCTTGCTGTCATCTATAACATTTCAGTAACAATAACCAAAAATATTGGATTTACAGCTTTCGAGTAATTATTTACATTTTTCTCTTCAGTTTTTAACAAAGAATTTTCAGATGGAGTGACGATTTTGAAAATTATTTATATTTTTCTACAATATATCGCTTACCGTGTTGGTTGATTGGGGTGCTCTCTGGATATTTTTTCTATGAATACAAATTTAAGATTCCCAGAATTGTAAATCTTGTTATTTGGGTAATCACCTTGTATACAATGATAGAACTCACTGTAGAACAGAACATTTTCATTACGAGTGTATATAACGTTTATCGTTCTGCTTTATGGAATGGTTTGGCAAGACCCACGTGGTCTTTAGCTGTTAGTTTCATTGTTTTTAGTTGTGCTACTGGAACTGGAGGTAATTTTTGTCAATATAGTTAGAAGCGTATGAGTGATTCTGTTTTATAGGGATTGTAAATGATTTTCTATCTCATCCTGTGTTCAGATTTCTAGGCGAACTTACCTACAGCATCTACTTGTTGCATTATGATGTTATTCTGAATGTGTTTGGTAGTACTAAAGAAATGTTCTATTTTAATACCGACAATATTGTAAGTACAATATTTACAACGTACTAAGATTATTTGATTTACATTACTGTCATTGCAGGTCTCCAAGTTTCTGTCTGTTTTTGTCGAAATTTTAATGGTTTCGGTATTTCTCTATCTTGCTTTTGAAGCACCAGTGTTGTCACTGAAATACCACCTGACTAAGAATAAAACTAACGAAAAACGAGATTGTAAGAAAAATTTGGAAACAGCTGGTTAAACACATACGATTTGGGTTTCTATTTATATTTGATTTGATATTTTATTTCTATACTTAAGGATGAAACATTTTTTTTGTATATTTTAATCAAATAATTTTTGGAAATGATTATTATTCATTGTTTAAATTAAATGTTTAGGGTTCATTTACACAACGAAATGAATTTGGCTTTATTAGGCTTCATAGGAACAAGTAAATATTACTGTTACGAAAGCAATCCATACGCCGCCCTGGTCCGACGCCTATGGGTCTCCTAGTATGTATGTGTTTATTCTGCTATGTACGGCGGTGATTACTCATCGGCCGGAAGGCGCGGCGTTTGCTGATGAAAAGCCTGGAAGCGGAAGTCGCGATGGGCACCCCAGAAACCCATCGAAGCGGCGTTCTCGAACGATCGAGAGGGACGTATAGATTTAAATAGAGGCCACCGTCGGAAACGAGGATTATTCAGTCAATCAGGTCCACGAGAGTATAATTAAGTTGCGCCGGAAGTATTTCGTACGTAATTGCTGTGAAATAATCAGTCGTGTAGGTCGAGTTAGTTATTAAGAAATAATTTGTTGAGTTTAACCAACACCGATTTTAATCATCTGTACAACGTTACTATTCGTATCGCCATGACAATATAATGAGCGGGTTGACAAAAATTGATGCATATTATCACCTATTACAAACTGTATACAATTTTGTGGTAGAAAGTTAGTAACACTCTATGAAACTAAAAACTGCAAAAATTGTGGAATATTTGGAGGTTTAATTGATTTCGTTGAATTGTTTGACAGCCTTTTTAGGATTTAGATAATTTACTAATAGTTATTAATGAGATATCAAGCTTGTAACGGATCTGGATAAGTTCTAATAAATTAAACGAATCTGTTGTCCCGAGTAGAAATCAACGATATTTCTTGACAAATAAATTTGGCATTTTGTCAGCATTCATTAAATTGGAGACGTTTCAAGGGAAATATCAAAGTTTTTGAAATTGAAACACCCTGAAAGTTACAACGGTCATTGTTTTAGAAAGTCTTCTAGCCATATGTTGTTCAAAAATTGCGCCAACTTCCTCACGCTAAAGCCAGTCGCTACATTTTCAAAATATAATATCTTCATTATTATGAGATTTTTTGTTGTAAAATTTTAAATATCACCTATGCATAAATTTTTCTATAACATACAGAGACAGTTTTACAGTTTTTATGTTTAAAAATCAATATCTCAATTATTTAGGGAAATTTCGGAATGCGGTTTTCACCATTGTTTTCTAGCTTCAAAAACATTGTCGACTTTTTTATTGAAAACCAGATACAGTAGAAGCAGTTTGTGTCAAAGAAAACACAAATATAAAAGAAAAGGAGGTAATTTAATAGTGCCACAAACTATTTCGAATTAAAAATAGATTCCCATATTATAGGCATCAGTTCTTTTTCAGTCGATCCCCAAAAAGAACAAATATATTAACTAAGAAAGTCAAAATTCTGTTCTATGTCTTTATTTAATTATTCACTCTGGGCTTTTTTTTTTTTACAAACATTTTACATTTTGTGATATTTATTTTATGGTTGTTAAACGAAAACGACCTAACAAGCAGCTCTAATGGCACTTTGTTTTTAAAACAGTATTCCTATCATTCAATTTTTTGCAGATTAATTCTACGACAACCACAAACAGCGATAAAAGAAATCCCACCCCTAAAAGTACAAAAGCACCAAAAACACGATATAAATCTAAATGTCCTTCGGTATATTGACAGTCGGGAATTAATGTCTTGCTAATATTAAAATCAACCTTACTATCACACAGCCATTTAACCATAAAACCACTTTCTACAACACGTAATAAAACATCATTTATCTTATTCAATAAAGGAAATCCTTTCTTAACCATTAAGTAAGATCGTAGAGTTGCGACCTAAAAACCAAAATCAATAAAATTGAAGATTTATTACATCGTACTTTACCTGTTCTTTGGATACCACATTTAATTGTTTGTAGTTTTTAATAACGAGCATTCTAACATTTGTTTCCACAATCCCATGATCAAGCTGTCGAGCGAAATTATTTATTTTATCATGGAAGAGAACAGGCACCTCAACATTTAATCTATTTTTAAGTATTAAATCGTAATCGCTTCTGTGAGCAAAATTTTCTAGATGCATATCTAAAAACAGTAATTTTTTATCGCTTAAAGCCAGTTCATGAATTGTTGAAATTTTTGGTTCGTATCTCGGTCTACTCAAAATTCCACTCAACTGACTAAAGTAGATCCAGCTCAGATTAAGAATATAAAAAAAGAAAATAGAAAAAATAAGTCGTGAAAAAGTCGCGTCTGGAACCCTTTGTGTGGTACCTTGTAGTAGAAGACGGATTACTTGAAATACGCACGTATGTAGAGAATATTCAGACAACCTTTGCCACAGTGCCGACATTGCTAGGAGTGAAACCAGAATTAATGACCAAGTATGAACTGAAAATACCACTAAAGTGTCGGTACTACTAATGATCTTGCGTCTTGGTGGTAGAATGAAGAAAAGGTAAGTTTCATAGTAATGTATACTTAGTTCACATTCCGGCTCTACGAAATATATGGGTATGGGTCTGACAAAAAAGGCCATCTGGATGTTTCTTTCTATCATATGTTTTTTCAATTCTATCGTTCCGTTTGTTTCTGCCATGTATTTAACATTTTTGGTCAAATAAATTGTTGTAATATTTAGCATTTCTGTAACGGTATCTAAAAGCCGAATGCTATAGCCTGGATTTTTTTTATCAAATGGACTGTTAATAGCGACGGGAAGTTCCTCCCATGTTACATTTATGTAACAATCTTGTAATTCTTTAGGAATTTTGTTTTGGAATAAATTTTGAGTCTTTTCCTTCGTCGTCAAGTTAACCACTGTTCCACACCGACTTTCGCGATTGTAAGGGTACCACGTAACCAAAAGTGACCAATTAGCGTATATGACAACATTGTAGATGTAGAAACGAAATAACGTTTTAAAAATGGATTTTGTTTCTTCTTCGGTAGTGTTGTCTTCGATAATGATGAGATAACGTCCTTTTGTATTGGTTCTGTTTCTTATCAAATTTATAGATGACGATAAATTGGTTACATTTGGTTCAATAATTATAAAATTGTTGATTGCTTCCAAGTTGGCAACATGTTCTGCATTTATTAACATTTTTGGTTGTTTGAGGTTCAAAATAAAGGTGAGTTTGTCATTTATATTGTTGAAACCTGAATTGATAACAACTATAGTTTCTCGGAAGAAGTGCTTGTGGATGAATTCTTTCAGCGATGTTGCTGTTTGCAGTAAAAGAAAATTAAATACAAAAAGTCTGAGGATCATTTTCTTTAGTTTCTGTTGATTTGATGTGTTTGCCTAGTGAATACTGATTTTTATGCCGTGCGTTTTACGTGATGAGATATTTTGTTTGAAAGTGCAATATTCATAATAGCGCTTTTATTGTTCATGAATTCTTTCTTTTGTTGTCAATTATATTTTTAAATTTTATTGCGTTGATGGGTTTCTTATACTTGCTTAACCCCGACTAAGTTGTGAGTAAACATGATTGATGAGACAGTTTAAAAGGAGAATACAGTGAAGTCTGGTTTTTAAATGGACATAAATATTTATTTTAAAAGAATAATTAATTACAAATAACTTTGTAACCGTGTATTTAGACGAAATTATTCAACTCTTGTTCCAAACAGTTTTCGCCTTAATGTTTTTAGTAACTATTATAATAATTCTACCGACACAATTGCATTTTCTTTAATTAAATAAGTTAATAATCACGAGAAGTAATGTGCAATTATTTTTTTAACTACACCACACCACAGATACATTTAATATAATTGGATAATGCATTTCTTTGTTTATACTTAATATCTGGTGATCAATATTGACTGCAATCGAGTCATCGATGACAGCGTAAACATATGTCCGAACCTTACATGCTATGGATAATTGTGATACCTAAAAAAACGGCAGTTTTAATGAATATGACGTTGTGAATGTAACTTTAAATAAATAAAATGTAATATTTCTTCCAAAAATTGTAAAATCTGATTTTGCGAATTTTATTTTTTATGAGAATCTCTATAAGTTAAAATAATGATATGTATGTAATATTATTATTATTATTGAAAAGAATAACTCAACAGGCTATAACTATATAGCCCAATTATTGAGTTACCAAACCCATATCATAGAAAAGAAGTAAGAAAAACAAAAAACAACAAAAAAAGATATATACCTCTATATCTGTGTAGCTTTGGTCTCAAAGATGAGATATCAATCTGTGTGACTTCAATGTTTCCTAGTGGCTATAAGAACACCTCAAACTCGGGTACTAGATGTTTTTAGGTAATCACGGTCAGCACCATATGCATTAAAGTATTCCAAGTCAAATATTTCTGAATTATTGACTTTTTATTTGTATTAAGCCACGTTTCCGTAAAACAAAATATATCAAATAAATTGTAGGTGAAACGAAGTTCACGGGGTCAGCTAGTCTATATTAATAAAAATGAATCGCCGAAATGTATGTACGCTCATAATTTCAGAACGGCTGCACCGAATTGGACGATTCTTTTTTTTACGTGTTCCTTATCGTCAGGACAAGGTTTATATGTAAGAAAATTTATAAAAAATAAGACGGCTAAAAGATAAAAAAAATTTAAAAATTTTGCATGGGAATCGCCACTTCGAATGAATTTGAATAGTTGGTGTTCCTGACGGATCTGTCGTCTGACTGACGTGTCACACAAAACTATTTCTTCCGTGCGATTGTGAAAAGTATTATTGCATTTCAAGTCGTTGTTTGTTTTTTCGTAACAAAAAACGTCGTTTATTTTAAGAAAAGTGTTCGTTAAAGTGCATTTAGTTACGCATTGCGAAAGTTTCTTATTAATTTTGATCTGCCATTCTATTTACGTATATTCACTTTGTTGGTTTCGACAAAACCTCAAACTTTACCGTTATTCCAGGATTTAATTTGAAATTTTCAATATTTTAAAATT